CTTGCCACACATGAAGGGTGGCCCATGACCCTTGGAGGATGATTTGGAGGAGAGGAATCCACATCCCACTAGAGCCATCCTGATTCAGATTGTCAGTCAGCAATCCCCAGCACCCCATCTTGCCCTCTCAATCACACATCATCTTACCTTCACATAATACCTCATCAAAGTTTGATTTTGCCCACTCCATTTACATATCTGATATCACTGGATTAGTTTGAATCATTTAGAAGCACGTCACTACAACCCAGTACTGAATCTCACCATTCCACCAAATATGATGAAATTTTGCCTAAGGTAGCACAAGTCAGCTTAGAATTGGGCTGAAACCAATACACAATCTTAAGGGCAGCCCTTTGAGACAAACACACTATAAGGAAAAGGGAGAACAAAGTGAGTAAATTTGTCAGCTTTGGTTCTATTTAGTTCCTTCTTTTCCTGAACATGGATTTCATTCAGCCTAATTCCACATTAATGTATTTTTGTTTATGTCCTCATGAAAACCTGGATCCTTCTTATATGTTCTCATCCTAATATGGGATTTTCAAATGCATGTATGTTTGAAAAGTGCTTCATCTATGGTCACATTTTTGGTACATTATTATGAATAAATCTGTGCTCTTTTCCATTTGGTATGCATATTTATGTCCATCTTAGCCCGAGATGTTCTTCCCCCTCTCTCTCCTCCCCTCCTTCCCATTCCTCTTTTTCATGTTCATTTACTCTCTTTTCACTTTTTTTAAGATCATGTATGGCTCTGCTTCAGAGTTGAACTATAGATCTCAAGGTATTTTCTCCTACCAAATGTTTCCAGATGTATCCCTTCAATACATAGGGATTCTCCAGTTACTACTGCATTTTAATTGGACATGGATTGGTATAATTTATGGGAACAGTGACCATGGACAAAGGTTCATTCGTAATGTGCTTCCTGGGTATTTTAAGAAGGGGATCTGTTTTGACATCATAAAAAGTTTTCCCAAACAAAGTTTCTCCCTTGCTGATATACAGAATGAATTGATTGACATACACAGGGTTGTTTTCAGAAGCACTGCCAAGGTAATGGTTGTGCACGGTGAAGCTGAGACTCTGATTTTACTAAGATCGTGGTTCCAGATTTCAGACTTTGAAGGCATGCAATCCAAGGCAAAAAATAAGGTTTGGATTATGACATCGCAGATGGACTTCGTATCACTTCCCCTACAAAGAAATTGGGACATACAAACCCTCCATGGTTCTATATTGTTTGCAAGTCACTCAAAAAACTTGCTCGGATTCCAGAACTTTCTTCAGAGGAAAAGGGCTACCTCAGAAAAAGAAGACAGCTTTACCAAGAATTTCTGGGAACAAGCATTTACTTGCTCATTCTCTAAGTCTGTGAGAGACCGTAAGTTTGATAAAATCTGCACTGGAGAGGAAAGACTAGAAACTCTTCCTTCATCTTTTTTTGAAATGAGTATGACTGCCCAGAGCTACAGCATGTACAATGCTATCTATGCTGTGGCACATGCTTTACATGCCATGTACACATCCAACTCTAAACACAGAGCAATGGTAGATGTGAGGAGGTGGGTGTTTTTTCATAAACAGCCATGGCAGGTAAGTGCATGAGTCATCTCATAAAATGTCATCTAGGCTCACAGGTTCAACTTTTATGTGTTTCCAGTTCCAGCTATGTACTAGCCATTTTTAAAGCAGCGTTTGATTTTCAAATTTCAATTTGTCCTCCTGCTGTCACATGGTTTGTTATATGAAGTTTTTAAGCAGAAGCCTAACACATAAAAAGGAAATATCTGCATTATTTTTTGTATACTTTAATTTAGTTGACATCGCAGTTTCTTACTGTTTCATCTTTTTAGCTTCATCACTTTCTGAAGCATGTCTCATTTAACAACAGTGCTGGGGAAAATATTTTTTTCAATCAAAATGGGATACTAGTATCTGGATTTGATATTATCAACTGGGTGACATTCCAAAACCAGTCCCTTCATAGAGTAAAAGTTGGAAAAATAGACCCAGACGAACAGCTCACTATATATGAGGATACTCTTGTATGGCCCATTATGCTGAATCAGGTAGGCTCCATGACAATTTCAGAGAATTTGAAGCATACCTCAACCCAAGCAAATTTCAAAGCACATTTTTGATGGTCAAAATGCTCTTGCTTAAGGGCATCAGTGTAATACAACAAGTGTAACATTTGGAGGTCACATGCCTCAAGGCAATAGAATCACAATAGACATCATCTGTTATACACTGCGCTACACAAGCTCAGTATGCAACAGGCAAAGTCTGCAGTGATTTCTTAACTTCAAGCAATTGGCCTTCAAAGGTTACACCCTTTGCATCACACTGACATACTTATTCAAGAGGATTTGGCAATTTCCTCCAATATTCAAAAGCTGCATTGACTGGGGAGACAATGAAATGACTGAATGTGCTTTCTTTTGATAGACAGATCTTCTCGCTATAACTTAATTTCCATTGCATTTTCACCATTTTAACAGTATTAAAATTTTATATTGTTTTGACAATTATAATTAAAAGAATGCTCAGTCAAGATTTATAGATCACTGTGTAATTTTCTCATCTACAAAATTTCTTTTGAAAGATGTGCACATTTGCAAAACAGTGTATGAAAGGACACTTCATAAAATGGAAGAATAATCGGTAGTCAAGTGAGCTTCAAATCAGAAATTCTTAATGATCTTGAAATTCACAAATCAGCATTACACCAATTGTAGAAAACAGTTCTTGAATGAGTTCAGCTGGACTAAACTATATATATAGTTTTTGTATACTTTAATTTAGTTGACATCTCAGCTAATAAATATATTAGCACACCATGACACCCATGACTTCCCATTCTTTGCTTCAAAAGAATCAAACAAACTATATATAGTTTATATAAAAGGGGAAATGATAGATAGATAGATAGATAGATAGATGATAGATAGATAGATAGATAGATAGATAGATAGATAGATAGATAGATAGATAGATAGATAGATAGATAGATAGATAGATAGATAGATAGATAGATAGATAGATAGA